ACAGCAGACTGGCCTATGGAAAGCCTGTGGTACAGTTTCTCGATCGATGTGGGAGGGCTCAACTGGCTGTGAGAGGTGCCACGCCTGCACATACAGTACAAGCAAAGAGCCTAAGCAAACTGTGAGGACTAAGCTGGTAGTCAGCAGTCCACCATGACCTCTGCTTGAGAGACGTTCCCGCCCTAGCTTCCTTCAATGATGGACTGTGATAGAGACGTATAGGCTGAAATAAACCCTTTCCTCCCCAAGTTGCTTTGGTCATGTCAGCAATAGAAACCCTATGACACTTGACTACACCGTTTCGGCTGCCATCAAACCACACACCGCCACACCGTGTGCCGAGAGAGAACTTCAACCTGAGCTCACAAGGAAGGGCAGTGGATGCTTGGGTCTGGGGTGTTCTGGACTACCTGCGTCTTCCCCTTCAGCTGATTCTAGCCTGTACCTGTATGCCAACTTCAAGCATAGCAGGCCCCTGAGCTCTAGGAGTCATTCTACCTACCTAACTGCTCATTCGGAATGGCTAGTGGGCAGCTCAAAACTTAGGGCCACCACTTAGAGGTGAGAGCCACTTGGGGATCCCTCAACTTGAGACTGGCATTTTGAAACCAGGCTTTGCTATGTCATCCTGGCTGGCCTGGACCTGTGCAGACCAGGCTGGCCTCGAATTCAGAAACCCACCAGCCTCTGCCTCCCAAATGCTGGGATTAAAGGTGTGTGGCCCCACCAGCGAACAGCCACTAGAGCCTGCAGCCAGGCCAGTTCTGCCTAGGGCTACTCCTCAACCTGGAAAGTTTGGACTAACAAACGGTACCTGGAGAGAAGTAACTGTGCCCCCGAGAACTGCATATGGCAGTCTGCATATGTCACAGGGAGTGGCAGGTGCATCCAGCCAGCCACCAAGCTGCTCACAGGAGACATCGGGCTGTCACTATCTTTCTGCCCTGTCAGTCACCTTTCATAAACATAAAAAAAGCAAAATGTCCTTCCAAACCAATGTCCTAGAAAATTCTGACTCCACGCTCTTCTCTCCAATTCCTTCTGGCCTCTGAACCGTACATGACGGGAGTGCAAGCTCAAATTCCCCAAAGCGGGCACATCGGAGTGGAAGGGTTCGCAGGTCAGGGTGCTGACTAGAAGCGCCATGCCTGTGGGGAGAAGAGAAGGACCCCACAGGCAGACCCAAGAGCCAAATCATCCTCCGTCTTTAGTCTCACAGCCATGTGTCCCCAACCTCGCCACCTGACCTAGGACGTCTGTCTAGTGGGTGAAGCTTTTGGCACGCCCTCACTTAGCAAACCACCAGCTTCTCCCCAGATTCAAAACTAGGAATGTCACCAGACAGCCTCTGGAACCCACAGCAGAGATTCCCCCCCCCCCCCCACTTTGCTGTCAGCCACGTCTTAGGTTTCTATTGCGGCGATTAAACATCACAGCCTTACACATCTAGTCCTCCATGGAGGGAAGTCAGGGCAGAAACTCAAGGAAGGAATTACGGCTGGGGCCATGGAGGGGTGAGCATACTGCTTTCTTATGTAACACCTGCCTAGAGATGGCATTGCCCCAGTGGGATGAACCCTCCCACGTCAATCATTAATCAAGAAAACGCCCCTGAGGCCTCCTGACAGGCCTGTCTGTTGGAGGCATCTTCTCAATTGAGGTTTCCTCTGCCCAGATGACTCGAGCTTGTGTCAAGTCGACCAAAACAAACACACTAACAAACAAACAAACAAAAACCCCTCTGTTGTCCCCACCAAAGTATTTGGGCAAATGCGTTGATTTAGGGTTCTCTGATCTGTGACCATAGAAGTTCCTGTAACCTTCTCCACAGCAGCATGTGTCACTCAGAGCAATGTGAATCCGTATCTGAGTCAAGATAAACAATCTCTCATTCCCTCTGGAGCCAGAGCTGTGCTGTGTAGGCAGGATTTTTGTCTTTTTTGTTTGTTTGTTTGTTTTTACAGCCCAGTACAACTTCCTTAATATGCTCACAGATCTGGCCCCAAGTGCCTCGTCCTCCCTGATTCTGGCCCTGCCAACTTCATTCCCACTTGGAGAGCCACGTCCCTACGATTGCATCCACTCCTTTTTACCACGAAGGTCCTGGTTTCCACATCTTACCCCGAGGGCTCAGATACACACACACACACACACACACACACACATACACACACACACACACACACACACCCGCTCTAAGGAGCCCCTAGTCACTCATCACCTGCTGATTTTTCTTTCTGATCTTGGGCCTCTCATGACAATGAAGTCTCCTCCAATGCCGGATTCCCAGGCCCAGAGGAGTGCTGGCTCACGGAAGATAATCGCATATTGGATATCCTAATTGGATATTCAGGTCTCATGGAATCCACTAAACAGGATTAACTCAGCGGTGGGCTCTAGCTTTATTCTGCCCTCCTTAATCCATTCTCCACACCACACGGGGAGACGTCTCTCCAGTAAGGCACTACAGCCTAGCAGGCCGTAGACCAGCACAAGGCTCACCACACGCTCAAAGGCCACTCTCTCTGACAGGAGCGCACAGGCCCATCACCATCAGCTGCTGCCACATTCAGCCCACCCTTTCCCCGCCTGTTCCCGGCCACCTGTACTGCTGTTGGCACACCCAAGTCTCCCTTGCCTCCTGGCCTTGGCACATGTTCCTCTTCTGCAATATTCACCCCCCACCCCGGCCCCAGGTCTCTTCCTTTGTTTAGCCTTCAAGGTTCCTTACCCAGTATGTGTAGAAAACCTTCTCTAACTCTCCTGTGGGCTTCCTTAGAAGTCTACCCAGGTCAGAGCACGGGTTCATGATATGTGCCAGTATCTGGAGCCTTGCCTGTCTCCTCAAGAGTATCACCCATATGGCATAAGGGTCTTGTCTTATTGGTTTGTACTGATACCATTAGGCACACTGCCTGCTTAATACCGCAGGTGTCTAATACCTATTTACTCCAGGTAGTGTGCTGGATAAGCTGAGGCCTTTGTTAGTCCCTCCACGTTCTCCTCAGAATTTTGTTCAGTGTTCCCAACAAAGCTGGCACTCAACCCTATTGAAAACATAGCACAATGACTATTCTAATCCAGGGAAAAGTCAAGGGGGCCCCCAACGACCATCCTGATGATGGAGAATTATTCTTAAAGGATGTGAGCAAGGCCATTCATAAACTTTAAACAGCTTGACTTAGTACTTTGCAATTAAAGACATGATTCCTTTCAACCATGTCTTCCCACCACACTGCTACTAGCATATAACTTTGGCCATAGTCCCATGGAGGCATTTTAGCCCTTATTCAAAATAGAGATGTTAATGCTCATAGGAGCATTCATTATCTGGGGCTGGAGAGATGGCTCAGCAATGATGAGCACTCGCTGCTCTTCAGAGGACCAGGGTTCAGTTCCTAGCACCCATGCCCTGTGGCTCACAACTACCTGGAACTCCAGCTCCAGGGCATCCGATGCCCTTTTCTGGCCTCCCAGGCACCTGCACCCACGGGCAGGTACACACACGCATGCACACTATATATAAGTAATAAAGTTAATCATGAGGGAAGAAAAGCAAGGCATGTTTAGATCAAAGCCACGGGCAACATGCAAGCTTCCTTCTATGAAGTCACAAACATGCTCTAAAACAGTGCCAGCAGGTTCTAGAAATTCTAACACAGGAAGAAAACAAGGATATTTACATAGTCAACGTGTCCACCTACTGTAAGAAAACGATGGCTTTTCCACTCAAACCCATTTGCACATACAATATTAGAAAGGTCTGAAGCTCCTAATGGAGGCGAGGGTTTTTCCCTTTCTTTTTGCCTGTTGCAACCAACAGACACAAGAAAATAATCAAATTTAAAAACTGGATTTTTTTTTTTTTTTTTTTACCATGACCCAACCTGTTGTACACTGATATACACAATCAAAACTAAAAGTAACAAAACAATCCTAGCCCTACTCTATAATATTCCACTGGATTTCACAAAAAAAGCATGGCCCACAACCTACTATGCCAGTTTTATAACCGGCATTTTGACAAACATTGATAGTTTAAGTAACTACAGTAAAACTAAATTCATTAAAAATAACAAAATTCAGCTTTACTTCTTTCTCTGTCTTTACCCTGCATGTGTACAGGGGCATGGGGACACGCAGGCACATGTATTGGTATGTGCATCAGTGGAGGCCAGAGGTCAACCTTGAATGTTATTCCTCAGAAGTCATCTGTCTTGAGTTTTAGGAGACAGAGTCTCTCACTGGAACCTGGATTGTAAGAGTCACTACCGCACCTGGCTTTTTACAGGAGTGCTGAGGATTTGAACTCAAGTCCTCATGCTTGTGCAGCTAGCCCTTTGCCAACCTGATCACCTCCACAGTGCTTCTCCCTTTATTTTTCAGACAGGGTCTACTATGTAGCTCAGGCTAGCCTCAACTCTCAAATCTTCCACCTCTGTCTCCCTAGTGTTGGGACAATGCGGGTACCACCATACCGAGTGAGAAACGCGTCTGATTATACAAACTTTGATGCTATTTTTAAATGATGAACGCAAGTCTCTTTATCCTTGAGTCAAACCCTTTGAAAATCCAAGATTCTTTTCGTTTTCGGGGAAGACAAGGTCTCATGCAGCCCAGGCAGGCCTTTGAATGCCCGCTCTTCCTTCTTCCAACTGATCACTGGGATTACAAGACATGCACTACCGCGCCAGGATAAGAAAGAGGTTAGGCCAGGCAGTGGTGGCACACACCTTTAATCCCAGCACTGGGGAGGCTGAGGCTGGCGGGTCTCTGTGAGTTTGAGGCCAGCCTGGTCTACAGAGTTCCAGGTCAGGCTCCAAAGCAATACAGAGAAGCCCTGTCTCAAAAAATCAAAAGAAAAAAGAAAAAGAAACAAAGAAAGTGGGTAGATTCTCTCTCATGGTTAAACTGTGTGGTCCTGGTCATTCACTGGCACAGCTAACTACTGGGGAAACAAGCGAGCAGATCATATAATAATGGTCTAAAGTAGCCCATACCTTAATATTGGAAAACCACAGGTCATTCTCATGCAGGGTGGCCAGGTAGACAGATGTGAGAAGTCCAATGCAAAGGGCCACGATTCCACCAACCACAGGCGACAGGATCTTCCAGAACCTTCCAGAAGCACCTTTTAGAAAAGTGAAACATATCAAACAAGAATATAGAATTTGGGGCAGGTGAGATAGTGCCACTGTTAAGACCACTGGCTGCACTTGCAGAAGGCCTGGGTTGGTTCCCAGCACCCGCATCAGGCAGTTCACAACCACCTGTAACTCCAGCTGCAGGGGACCTGATGCCCTCTTTTGGCCTGTGATTATAGGTACAACCTACACACAGACACACATAGACACATATGAAATACAAAAATAAATTTCACAGAAACAATATAGCATTGACTACAGAAACAAACTAGAAAAAGTACAAATATAGGAGATTAAAGGATAATAAAAAAGGATAAATATATTCTTGTAGGGAACAGATTAAGGACATGGATAGGCAATGAACAAAAGGGCAAAAGGCCAATAAATGTAAGACAGAAGAAAACATGTCAAACTTCATTCAAATTCTCTAGTATTGACAAAAAATGAGCAGTACTTTAAAAAATGCTCGTCAAATATGGAATTTAAAATTGCTAATACATGAGCTGGGGAATGGCTCAGTGGTGGAGCCCCTGCCTAGAATCCCCCAGTGAGGGGCTGGGGTGTGGCTCAGTGGTAGAGCACTTGCCTGGAATCCTCCAGTGAAGGGCTGGGGGTGTGACTCAGTGGTAGAGCACCTGTCTAGAATTCCCCCAGTGAGGGGCTGGGGGCGTGGCTCAGTGGGAGAGCACCTGCATGGTATGACTAACACTGCAAGAGGGATAAATAGTAATGTAGCTGAAAACTGTTTTGGAAATGGGCAGGCTAGTTTTTGCATCAACTTGACACAAGTTAGATTCAATGACAGGAGGGAACTTCACTTGAGAAATTGCCTCTGGAAGATTGGCTGTAGGCCAGTCTGTAGTGGAGTTTCCTAATTAGTGAGTGATATGGGCAGGCCCAATCATTGTGAGCTGTGCAACAGCTGGGTCCTGCGTACTAGAAGAAAGCAGGCTGAGCAAGCCAGTAAGCAGCTCCCCTCCACCGCCTCTGCATAAGCTCCTGCCTCCCAGTTCCTGCCCTGCTTGAGTTTTTACCGAGTTCCTTTGGTGATGAACACCGATACCGAAATGTTAGCAAAACAAACCCTTTCCTCCCCACGTTGCTTTTGTTCATGGTGTTTCGTCACAGCAATAGAAACCCCAACTAATACAGAAATGGATTTAATTAAACAAACCTCTTTCAGGCTGGAGAGACGGTTCGGGAATTAAAAGCACTTGTTGCTCTTACAAAGAACTCGGATTCTGTTCCCAGCACTCACACGGTGGCTCACAACCATCCGGAACTCCAGTCCCAGGGAACCCACTGCCCTCTTCTGACCTCCGAGGGCACCGGGCACACGCCCGGGACATACTTATGAAAAGGTTGAGGACATGGTAATGGCAGAGCAGCAACTTCCCCAAACAGCACATGCTCTTGCTCAGTTTTATAAAGCTACATGTGACTGCTTGAGGGCAACCATGCGGAGACAGCGGCATTCAGACAGCAAGACAAACACAGTCATCTGTGCTGCTCTCAGGGTGAGGAAGTCGGTGAAGGACTTTTTTCTTCTTTTTTTACATTTGTCTTTAATGTTCAGGGTTGCTTTTTTTTTTTTTTTTTTTTTTTTTGGTTCTGACATGATTTCATAAAATGGGCAATCTTCAAAGTGTTTTTTAATTAAAAACAAAATAAAACAAACCAAAGCGGGGCTGGAACATGGCTAAGCAGTTGAAGAGCACTTGACCACTCTTGCAGAGGACCCAAGATCAGTTCCTATCACCCACAACCATCTGGAACTCCAGTTCCAGGGGATCTGGTACCCAAGGGTGACCTTGGTGGGCATCAGGCACACCGACAGTGCGTATACCCACATGCAGACAAAACAGTCATACACATAAAAATAAATACATACATCTTTAAAAGCAAGCAAAACACACCGTAAGGGCTAGTGTGGCAGCTCACTGAGTGGGGGCACTTGCTGTCAAACCTGATGACCTGAGTTTGATTTCTGCAATACAGAAAGTGGGAGATTCCTGCTAGCTCGGACCTTCACATGCACACACTGTCCAAGCCACCACACATGCAAGGTAAATAAATAAATGCAATTAAAAAAAAAAAGAAAGGCACACTCTAACATAAATTTTAACTGTATAACATCATCAGAAACTACTCCAACTTACCTAACATGTATTGGCTCCGATCAACTTAGCTGAGTGGCCTGGCTTTCCAACACAGACATCTTTTATCTTATTAAACAGCTTTTCCTGCTACCTATTAGCTCTGGCTGCAAAGAATTCATCTAGCTACAAAGGATTAATTATGTCCCATACCGAAAATGGCTGACAGGTGTGGAGCTTTTCAAGCTAGCTTTTGAAATTTTGGCCGCATTTAATTACAAAATGTGACCAGGGGTCACTTAGCAAATGTTCAACATTATATAAACATCTCACCTAGTTCTCATTTTTTTTCTCCTCCCCCTCCATTCCTACCTGCCCTCAAAATAAAGCAAAAGAGGTAACTCCAGGTATTTGACTGAATATAAAACGTTAAATGTCTTTTTCAGAGACTACAATGAAATGAGACTCCAGATAAGGCCACCTGGATGGTACCGCACACACAAACCAGACTAGGTACTAGAGAAAGAGATGGTCAGGTAGGGCAGGCAAAGCATCACTCTGGTGACAAAAGTAACAGGCAATCTACCAAGACTTCTCATCAATGCTCTTTTATTGGTTATAGCTGAAAAGCCAATACAACCAAAGTACAATCAGACTATCTGGGTGCTGGAATAAGCATCCTTCATAAGTCTCACCAGTTTTTTTTTTCCCCCTATTAGAGTGTGTGTGGCATGTGTTAATATGCAGAAGTAAAAGCAATCCAAAAATGCTGCTTTAGCTCAAATCACCTACCAGATGGCAATTTCTTTTCCAACTTCACATTTTCTTTTGGTGACGGAAAATCCTCAGAAACTTCTATGGTTTTTGTCTCTTTTCTTTGCCGGATGTACATCATGATGTCAAAGATTCATGTGCATTGTTCTTCCAACCACTCCTGCAAACAACACCCAGATAAATGCCCCATGGATATGTTAGCACCCTCTTCACCCCAATACACCCTTATGCTCTCATATGATCAAATGGCTTGACTCAAATCTCCTGGTAGACCCTCCCATACAAATTCTAAGCAGCCTCTAGGGACACAACAGAGATAATTAACTCAACGGTATTTATGAAGCACCTGTGCTCCAGCAGGCACGTCCAGGAAGGAGTCAGGGACACAAGAGAGCCACATGAAGCCCACCAGCCCTTCTTCCAGGACGCCATCTTAGATGCTCCAAGTCTTGGGATATTTGCCTCCCCCGAATCTGTAACACTAACTATGAGATTTGTTGGGTGACACAGTTTTACACTATTTTCTTCAGAAAGTAGCGGGTCTCATTCTCCCACAAAACTGACCACGTGGGAGGGATTCCTCCTAAACTTGTGACACCCAGATTTTGAAGAACTGAAACATTGTTTCTCTAACCTGAATTTTAGCACCTGTGCTCTTTGAAACAAACCGACTAAGCTATAGGTCTCGGTGTCAACGACAGCGCCGGGCTGTGCCAATCAGGGTGGCTGCTTTCCCTGGGGAGCAACAGTGGGTGTAGTTGTGCGAGCAGTTACCTAGTTTGGAAGCTGTGAGGGGAGGCGGGGGTGTGGTGGCGGTGAGTAAGCTGGCTCCTGCCCCCGAGAACATCTTGCCTAGTTCCTCTGAATAATGAATAGCGTTTTACTAATTATCTATTAAAGATGAGGAGTAGCGAGATGCGATTGTTTAGGCAGCTAATCCAACCTGCACTCAAGATACCAAAGTCTTATGTTCACCTAACAGTAAGCCACTTGCTAAATACAACAGAGCAAGGGAATAACACACAACGGTTTTAAGATTCGTCCATTCAAAAATAATGAGAAGGAACACGGACTTAAATGATGTTCCCCAAAGCACAAGAAACGAAGAAAGTGACGGGGGGGGGGGGGAAATGGGGGCGGAGGAAGGGGATCTTTTCAGTCTTGCAGCCACAGCTAGGATCCTGTCCCATCTCAGGGAGTTGTGCCCTGCTAGCCCTAGGCGGGGCATGGGCTATGGAGGGCCCATCGTGCATCCACCCTGAGCCTGTTGAGACACAAAGTTAACCAACACGCCAGGTGCTAAATATGATACGGGTCTGGATGGCAACAAACACACGAACTATTAGACAAAAAGTTGCTCTGGCCAGCGGGACGCAAAGCGCTGGCCAGACTTTAGCTAAGGGACCTGCAGGCAATACCAGGATTGCCGATCGGGATGCACCTGGAGACAACCCCCTGCGCACCTGGCGAGCCCAGGAGAGGGCCAAGTGCCGGCCAAGCCGGGGACGTCCAGGCACCCGCTCCGGCTCAGACAGGCTCCCTCCCACGCCCCGCCCACGTGTCCCGGAGCCACCGCTCGTCCAGTTCCCTCGCGGCCCGACCCGCAGCCACAGACCTGCGGCCTCAGCAGTCCTCGCGGGCGGCTTGGGATTGGCAAGGAAGCACGCCGGGCACCCAGGCCTTGGGGACGCGCCCACACCGCGGGCTAGAGCGAGGTGGGGGAGCCGGAGGACCCAGCGGCCGGAGACTGTGCGAAGCGCGAGGCAAGGCTGGGCCTGGGGGGGGGGGCGTCTACAGTCCCTGGAAGGGGCGCGCCGGGGAGGCCGGGCCGCTGCCGCTGCCTTCATTGGCCGCGGGAGCTGTTCGTCAACGCGGGGCCCCGCCCCCGCCTCCCGCGCTGCCCCGCCCCGTCTCGTGCGGCGCAGACCGGAAGGAAGAGGCGCACTTCCGCTCGGGGGGTTGGCTGGCTGGGCGTGCGGCGTTCGCAGGCGTTTGTCAAGCTCGGCCGGTTTCTGTCCTCGGGGGCCCCCGCTGCCCTGAGGAATGGTCGCCCGGGCTCGGGGTGAGCGCAGGGGCGCGGCTTTACCAGTGTCCACCTACCTGCGCTTTAGACGGTTAGTGACAGGACCCGCAGCTACGCGGGCGTCTGTAAAGGCGCTCCCTCCCACCCCAGGCCCCGCCCCCGCCCCGCCCCCGCCCCCGCCCCGCCCCCGCCCCCGCCCCCGCCCCGCCCCCGATGGGTGTGCCCTGGGCTTTGCTGTTCTCCTTAGCACGCCCCTCTAGTGTTGAGTCCTGGATGCTACTCTTGCCTTTACCTTGCGTGTCAGCCTTTTTCTTCTCTTTGAAACGGGGTCTGGCTGTGTAGCTGTGCCTGGCTGGCCTGGATCTCTCTGCTTCTGCCTCCTGGGTGCTGACATTAAAAGTGGGCGCTACTGTACCACACTGAGTTTTAGTAATAGCTGGCCCTCCGCGATCGGGACCTATGAAAAGGCGGCCTGCCATCTAATTTCAACAAAAATTGCTTCACCCACCCCGCTTTTCTTAGTCACCCGCCTCAGCTAGATCTTTTTCTCCTTTGGTTATCAACCGTTAATACCAAAAAGACGCCTCTCAGAATGCGCTCTTATTAGACAGGATTTTTTTTTTTTCCCTATCCCCTCGCTTAAAGTGACTTAAAATGTAAGAGCTGTGAGATGTGTCCCTTACAGGAACAGTATTCAGCTGCTGCCTGGTTTGTGAATGGAAAAAAAAGAGAGAGAGAGAAAAGAAAAATGAAAGACGACTGCTCCTAGGAATAGTGGAGGAGGTTTACTGTAGATCTATGGGAGAGCAGAGCCAAGAGGCAGGGACCTCTGGGAGCCTTCAGAGTGGTCATGACCTGAGCCAGGTGGGGAGAGGGAGAGGGGAGCGAGGCGAGAGAGAGGGGGGGGGACAGGTCCAGCAGCCACTAGGTACAAAGAGAGTGGGCAACCATAAAGGTTGGATTATACAAGGAAAGGCAGCCCAGCTCCCCGGAATGGAGAGTTCAGGGTAGAGAGCAGGCTATGGCAGCCAGGAGGGGTCAGAGGGGTGGTGGGAGAACCTGGCAGCCGGCTCTGCTTTGATACATATGTTAAATAGGCACTATAGCCATTGTCATGGGTTTGGAACCTAACAATTTCTGTAACAGGAGGCTAGAACCATGCTAAGAACATCAAGTTGGAGCCCTTCTCATAGGAAGCAGGTGCCTGCTGCTCAGAGTCACGACTGTAGTCATATATGCCGCACGCCAATAGTCCTAACACCTAGGAGGCTACAGCAGGAGGATGGCCAACGCAACTCTTGCCTGGGTTACATACAGAGACGAACAATACTGTCACAAACATACAATAAGGCAATGAGGTGTAGTGATCAGAACAGAAAGACGGAACGTTATGGGGAAAGGAAAATGAATCTCCCATCCCACATGTAGATGAAGCCTCTCCCAAGCTGCAGGCAGGAACCCAGCACACAGCTGCACTTGCTGTAAACTAAAGGTTGCAGACACAGAAATGATGTTTCTCCCATAGCTATCTAACTTAGTTAAAATAGCAATGACCCAGGCTTAAGACCTGACCGCATTTGATCTTTGGGTCTCATTCATTTCCCCAGACACCTGGGGATCTCAGAGGAGACACTTAAATGCTTGTTTACAGTAAAGATACCCTACCTTGGGGCTGCAGAGTTGGCCCAGCAGTTAGGAATACTTGCTGCTCTTGCAAGTTTGGTTCCTGAACCCAGGTGGTAGCTCACAACCATCTGTAACTTCCATCCCAAGGATCTAATGCCCTCTTCGATCCCCTAGGGCACCAGATATTCATGAGGTGTACATACTTGCAGGCAAAATACACATAAAAATACAAGGAAGGGGCTAAGCAATTAAGAGCATGGGCTCTCCCTTTGGAGGACCTCTCTTAGATTCCTAGTACTCACGTCCTGGCAACTCCTGTCCCGGGGATCTGTTGCCCTCTTCTGGCCTCAGAGGGCAATGCATGCATATGGTGCACAGCCAGCCATATAGGCACAACACTCATAAATAAAATAAATCTTTTTAAAAAATTCAACAAATAAAAGTCTTTAAAAGGCATTAGCTTGGGTGATATCCACAGAGGCAAAGAAAACTCAGCACGACCTGGGATATTTAGGTGCTCCATGCAGCTGGAGTCAGTGGGGGGGGGGGTGTCTGTACTAAAGTGATACTGGCTCCCAGGCTTCTGACTTGAACAGTCAGGCCAGTGGGATGCACCAAAAGAAAAGCAGGCTTGGGGCTTGTGACAACTTAAAGGGGGGTTTCCTCATAGGCAGAGGTGGTTCTGCCCACAGGCTGTTGGAGTAGCCTCAACCCATAAGCACTGAACTCTGAGGCTTCTGAGATGTCTGTGGTAGGGGGAGGGTAAGGAAGAGAAGAAGCCGCCATATGCTGGCGCTAGGCGTGGGAAAGGAAATAGCGGCAGGGGGCAGCCTTCTTCCCTTCTCAAGTTCACACAGTCTGGGCCTGGGGTATGGAACCAAGTCTTCACACTCAGCTAATCCCTTCTCAGAGATGGGCTTCACCTACCTCCTCCATGCACTTCCTGCTGCTTCTCTTCCTGTCCACCTCGCGGTGAGCAGTTCTTACTGCCATGGTGGTGTTCCCCCTCAAAGTACTGTAGACAGAAGCTACAGAACCAGGAGCCAGAACAAGTATATTCCTCCCTAAGGTGCCCTGTCAGGTACTGTGGTCACAGTGGAAAGCTAACACGTACAATAGCCTCACATCATCGGTCTCATGAGGTTAGGGCACAGGATAGTCCAGGGTCAGCCTTCTGCTGGATTGCTTGCCATGGGGAGAATTTCAGTGGTTATGCCAAAGCTGCTCCAACAGCCTATAGAGAGAGCCTTGAGAGCAGCCAGCCGCCTGCCAGTCATGGAGTGAGCTGTTAGCACATCAGACAACGTAGGTCAGCTCTGGTGGATGTCAGGATACATCCTGGGTAGAACCACCTCTGTGTGTCACTCTCACAAATCAGAACTCTGAGGACAGTAGGCGCGTGTTGCAGCTGTGATTGGTTAGGCTTTGGGGGGGGGGGATGTTGTATGGTGATAGATACATCAATACAATACTGATCACCCACATGCATATGTCACTATGTACCTATTTCCACTGAGCTAGACATCTAGGCTGTTTCTGATGTGTGTATGAATGTTTTGCCTGCAGGTATGACTGTGTACTACATGCATGCCTGATGCCCCAGGAGGCCAGAATAGGGTATTGGATCCCCTGGAACTGGAGTTGCAGACAGTTCTGAGCCACCATGTAGGTGCTGGGAATCAAACCCAGGTCTTGGCAAGAGCAGCAAGGGCTCTTAACCACTGAGCCACCTCTCCAGTCTCTGTCTTTCTGTTGTTTTTGAGACAGAGTCTCCGTAGCTCAGGCCTTTGTTTTCCAGTGCTAGGTTTAAAGACATGTACCACTATACCCAGCCTGTTTCTGGTTTGATGCAATTTTAAGTAATGCTGCAAGAACATTCTTAGACATACATAATTCTTTAGGAAATGTTTCTAGAAATAGACTCGAAAGAACTCATGTTCTAATTTGTGATATAAGTTGGCAAACTGTGTTCCAAAAGGATGAACACTTCCATTACTTTAGTTTTTATTACCACTTTGTATTACAGCTCGGATTTCTCTATACCTTTGCCAAAAGTGGACATATTTAATATTTGCCTACCGGGGATAGCACATAAGACATTGCACATGCTGGGCAATGTTCTACCATTTGTTTACCCTCAGTGTCTTATTTTTGAAGCAGGACCTTGAATCTGGTTTATAGCCCAGGCTAGCCTTGAAATCATCATATATATAGTCCAGGCTGGCTGTGAACTTGGGAACATTCTGCCGCATCCTTCCAAACACTGGGATGTGTACCAACACACCCCTGTATATTTTATATACAGGGTGATGATGTCAGGTGTTTTAATTATTTATTTTTACTATGATTACTATTTTATAGTCTTTGTCCTGCTCAGGTATTTAATCCATGAAATTATCATTTGTTCACTGTGAATGTTTGTCATATACATCACAGATAGCTTCTTGTTATTGTATTATCTATTGTGTGTATTTTGCTATATAGGAATTTCCTACATTTATGTGATTAAATGTTTGTTTATTTATTTATATGTGCATGCCTGCATGTATATCTGTGTGAGGGTGTTGGGATTCCCTGGAACTGGAGTTACAGTCAGTTGTGTGATGCCATGTAGGTGCTAGGAATTGAGCTCAGGTCCTCTGGAAGAGCAGCCATTGCATTTAACCCTGAGCCAAAAGTCCAGCTCTCATAAATCTGTTATTCTTATAGCTCATAATGTGTACAAGTTCTCTCATTTTTTCTTGAGTATTTTTTTTTCTAGTAATTTGAAATACAGGATCTTATTTTTGGGGTGGGTGGGTAGTCCAAGACAGGGTTTCTCCATGTATCCCTGGAAATTACTCTTTTTTGTTTGTTTGTTTGTTTATTTTGTTTTGTTTTGTTTTTTTGAGACAGGGTTTCTCAGTGTAGCTTTGGAGCCTGTCCTGAAAGTTACTCTGTATGTAGACCAGGCTGGTCTCGAACGCACAGAGATCCACCTGCCTCTGTCTCCCAAGTGCTGGGATTAAAGGTGTGTACTACCACTTCCTGGCTTCAGAATTTTTTTTCCTATGGAATGAGAGATGTAACACAATCTTTTTCTAAGTGTACACTTTTTTCA